TTTAAAAGAGAAAACAGGAGGCACTTCTTTACACAGAGGGCTGCAGGACTCCTGAACAAGCTGTCCAGCTGTGCTGTTAAAGCTTTCATCCTGGCTTTGAAGAATGGCTGAGTGAGTTACTCAGATCAATTGGCTATTATCAAATGGACAAGATGAGCCAAATGCCTCTTTGTTTTTGTACCCTTTGTGAGGTTTTAAATACTACAGCATTTCAATTATGGACAGCTGAAATGACATGGAAGTGTTTTGGAGAGCTTGATCATTAAACATTTGGGGAAAACATGGTCGGGGCTCTTCAGGCTGGTTCAGATTTTGAAAGAAATAAGTAGGAATGTCTCAATGATGTTCCATTGTTGTAAAAGGAACCTTCCTTTATGGAGCATTATTGTAGTGTTAATTTATGTCACAAGGCGTTGGTAAGGACCCTATGTGGATGGTATAATCTGGAAGGGAGTGAAACAGACACGGGGAGGAGACGATATGGAACTGGGCTGGTCCAGGGGGGCGTGGTCCAGGCAAACAAGTCCAAGGGAGTCCAAAGAGAAATCCAGAGCAAATAGCAAGAGTCCAGAACTGGGTGATCCATCCAGGACAAAACAAGACAAAGTTAAAAACCGGAATGGGATCGAGTGCAGGGAGATGAAATAAAAATGGGGAAACGGGACCAGGCGCTCTGAGCCCCAGACTCAGCTGGGTCAGGACGCCGATGGGAGGCCTATGCCCTCAAGCCACGGACGATCGTAGGGCAACTTGGTGGTAGGCAGCCCTCTGGGCGTCCGTCTTCCAATGCAGAGCCAGGAGTAGCGAGAGAGCCTGCCTTAAATAAGGAGGGGCAGGATTGGAGGCAGGTGCACATGATCAACTAAAATGTAAAAGAGCTGGAGCACCCTTAAGAGGAGGGATTACAATTGTGACAGTTTATGTGTCCTCCAATTAAGGAGTTATTACTTTATATATAACTTTGGGTAACTACTGTCCTACCTTTCTCTAAAATTATGAATGTGGCATCACTGTACAATTTATCTGTACCCACAAGTGTTTTCATTTGAACAAAATAATATTTTTCCAGGGGAGTCTGAGTTCCATCATATTGCAGCTCCTGTATTGTATTCAATTTTGTTTAAGCAAGTTTGGGCAACTAATGTAGTTATTATAGAAGTGTTACAGAATTTGAAAAGTTTTTGTGGAGATTGATAAATGTTTCCCATGTCCCCTATTTATTTACTAAGCAGTATACTGCAGCACACCTAACTAAAAACTGTTTCAGATACATCTGCACTCATGCATAATTTACAGTTCAGTTTCAAGACTAATGAAAACAATGACGATTAAGTCTGGTCACATACTGCAGGTCTGCTTGTTAACTCATTGTCTGTCAAGAAAACTGACAATTTTGTGGATGACTTTAAAAATGTGGGTACCTGCCATTACTGGATTTGGCTCTCATACTGTACATTTTTTAACTGTGCTGGACTTAGATGTTTTGTTTGATCTTAAATGCAGTTTGTCACAAAAGGCAATCGGTTCTGGTCATGTACAGTACAAAGTACAGAAATTAGATTATTGAATGTTTTATGGAAATTTATTATATTTTACCCTATTGTATCTTTTGTAAAATTGAAAAAGGAAAAGGTAGAATGGTACCAATATTACATAATCTTACAGACATGAGAGAGAGGTTACAAATGTAGGTAGACAATCCTGTATGTCTTATTTTTGTAACTTTGCCATAAACATCCTGACCTTGGAGTTGCAAACAACTTGCAGAAGCCCTTTAATCTGTTTTCCTTTAGTATTGTTCCCTTAAGTATACACAAGTGCTATTTTCAGCTGACACTTTGTTTCAAGCAGTGGTTTAATGTTCACACAATGTACAGAAATGGGGAAAAATGACATCTTTACTGTACATTAAAAAAGCAAAATACTTTTTTCCTCGATTCACAGGATAATAAAATCATTTCTGAAACCATTCTTTGCTGAAGTGAGCACGCTACCTCTTCATATACCTTTTCATTCTCTAAATTTGATGTTGAAAAATGAATTTAATGCATTTGTTTAATCATAAATTGGAGGATATTGTAATGTATTATTGAGAGATGTTCCTGGTAGAGTCATAAATATGCTTCAATAGATGCTGTCATCCAACAAAAGGACTCCTGAATGTTTAACTAAAATACAGATGACACTTGCTCCCTATAAAATACTAGGTTGATTGCAATATTTGTTCGTACTGCAACTTACTGTGCAATTCCATTGCTACTTAAAACATCCGTTGAGGCTGAGTGCCTTATACCCCCTAAAATAAGGCTTTGCTCTAGGGTCACTGGGAGCACTTAGTGTAGTGGGTAAAAGTCTGGTGTCTTGAGGGTTTCAGGACAAAGGACTTGCTGTAAGGTGTTTTACTCTCCTTTTTAGAGTCACAAATTGGTAAATGTGGGCCCAGAGATATGGGGGGTAATACTGTTCATACAGAGGACCGGTGTCTCACCATCGTGCTCTCCAATCTCTGGCCTGAGAACCTGTTGTAGCTTGGATATGGAAACTACACACTTTGCACTTTGTATGTGGTTCTGCAGTGCTTCCAAAGCTGTGGACTACAGTATGCTGTCCAGCCTGGAGAGATGTACTGTATTAGATATAGTGCCTTAAATATCATGGCTTTTACTGATGGATTTTACTTGTAACTTTTTAATGTTGTATTTTCATTATTTGTCTGTTTTTTTTCCATGTGAAGTGCTTTGAGCTTGAGACAATTTATTCTCCTTTTACTTCTTATTACAGTATATCACTTTTCATATGTATAATTTAATTATTCTGTAGACAATAGTTTTCATTGGATCCTATGGAACTGGAAAAAATATCCATGTGTTATACTATGCATCATGTGTTTAGGATTTTTATGGTTTTAAAACAATAGAGTGTTAAATGTAAGGTTTAGGTAGTGATCATGATCTTTGCACAAAGTAATCTTAGTTTTTTATTTCCCAGATGGTGCAGTCTGGCTCTGTCAATCTAATTAAAAAAATAGATTATTGCATGATCAAGTCTTTGATCATGACTTGGTAAACGTTAAAATGGAATTTACCGTGGTAAAATTATTTAATCTAATTTGCTTTATTGCTCTTTATACCATAAGATCTATACTGGAGCGCTGCATGGTTTTTAATGATAGTTGTGCTGCAGCGTAGACGATGCTGGGAATTTATTGTTGAGCTGACAGTGTCCACTGGTGGCGAAAAAACACAATTGCAGTTTCAGTACAACTACAGTATGATAGTTGTCATTTATGCGCAGACGGACGTGTCAATGTCATTGAGTCTTTTACAAGACCAAGGTTTAGTTACAATCGTTTTATTTGATGAAAAATGTAGATAGAATGACAGGATACTTAAAGTAAAAACATCAGCATAAAATAATATTAAATAGAAGAAAATAATTTGCCGCTGAACTCCGAGGAATTTAATTTCAACAAACTAAATGTTTGCCTGTGATAATAATGCGCAATATACAGTATATGTCCCGAAGGCGGAAGGAGCGTTGTTTTTTATGTTAACATCACTCATACAATGATTGTGGTTTATAAAATATGAAAACCCGCTAGAGAACAGCAGCTTGTACACTAGGGGTTGGTCTGATTTATTTTCCGTTTTAAGACATTGCTTTCAATTTGATAAAACGCAGACTAATCGTGTATTTGGATATACAAAGCAACAAGCAGAGGTTAATCCCACCAAAACTATTGTTCTCTGTCATTGTCATTTATACTCATGAAGAAGGCTGTACAGCCAAAACGTTATTTGCTTTACTCTTTTCCCCGATATCAGCGCTGAATTAATCTCGACGTGTTTCTTGGCAGTCCACAAGATGACTCGACTTCATACTAGAACCTACTTTGACATACTGTATTTGTATTTTTCTTAACACTATTAGATGTGGAAGTGTTATATGTTGTTATATTACATGATATATGCATTTGATTTCCGATTCTAGTTTAAGTTATTGCTGTGCAAGCTAGACTAATCACTGTCGTAGAACGGCGCTGTACTACAATATATTTAAGACGTAAATACTGTTATCTTGTGCCTGCATTTTTATGCTTTATGAGCTTTAAGAGAGATTCCCAATATGTGATTAAAACATCAGGACTGGTGTGCCGTCTGATATTGAAAGGTGTTAGTCGGAACAGGCTCACCCATTACAAGGACGAACACCAGATGGCTCTCTTGAGTTTTTTTTTTTGTTTGTGGTTTATGCTTTGGTAAGGAACCTTGAAATGGAAAGCTTGTATACTGGAAATGCTAGTGGTTTAAGGCTTGAAGTTATAAACAGTGCACTGGTCATGTGCTCATTTCTAGATCCATCTAGCGATATAAAGTTTATATGGTTCTTTCATAATAGATTAGTTTACATGAAGAATTATTTACATACGCATTTACGTTTTTGTCTGGTTTGTTATCCCTTAGTTACAGTGATCTTAGGAATTCAGTGGCGTGTTACTGAATGTATATGTATATGTACCCTTTATATCTCGAACTGTTAAATGTTCATGTCGTGTCTAATCTATTTTGCTTCTGGTCTGAATTTCGCGTGAAGCGCTGGCCGTGGTGCTGAAATTAAATATGTGACTCGGAACGAATACCACCAGATTCATAAGAAAGTTCTTCAACAGACTTAATATATATTATCCATATTTATATACATACAGTATTTGTATAATATTACTTTAAAATATAATTCATTCGAAATGTGGGGTTTTCCTTTGGACATTTTATATCTCATAAAGCATATGTATATTCCAATTTTTATAGAAATGATCGATATTGTACATATATTTTTATACCTCATGTTCTTGAAGCAAATACAGCATTTGTTTGGCCGAAATCCAAATCTTACAGGCATTGAAGTAGTTAAGGGAATCAGTACACAGTGTACAATCTTACCGTCCGGTTTGCTTCTGAACCACGCCAGGAAACAAATCACTGTAATTTGTTTTTATTATTTTCTTAGTGTACACGTTTCCTTTTTGTAGGATACAGTTTGTGATTTTATTTGGTGGTGAAAATTGCTCAGGATTACATTCTGGTGAATTGAATGTAGTCTAGCGTCCTTAACAACGCCCCATGCTGTAGATGTTAAAGGGTTTCCAGCGTTTGCCTGTTATGATCACGTTTATAGCGGGGGCGTTAGTTCCTGCACAGCTGAAGCTATCTTACAAGTGTTGAATTTTACTACCAGCTCACAAACACCAGAGTGCTTTCGTAGGTTTCGCCTGGCAGTAACGGTGGAGAAGACTTCTTCGTCCTATAAACGGTGACAAATAAGTAAGTCATTAAGACTTGTTGATGTCCGCGATTCGTAGACGCTCATTATTCTAGGCTGCTGAACAAAAATATTTTTTTCTCTTCGCTTTTTCCTGCGCGAAAATAAAAAGTAAATGTGAAATGAAACTCATCTTGAACAAAGGAGAGTGCACACCAGCTAATACGTCTTCTGTCCAGTTTTACGTTGATTAGTTGCTGTTGAGCAATATGAAATGAAAATCTATAAACATCCGTTGTTTATTCCGCACCTGGGAGTCTCCTAAAGTTTATTTATTTGTACGGTGCTGTCACACGGGTCAGACGTCATCTTCACAAGACTCCGGTTAGTGGTTACTTCTCTAATCAGCCCGTCTTTATTTTTATGGCTGTAGTTATTGAAAAATAAACAGAAATATGTTCGATGAGACGATGACACCATCCTCTGATCAAAATGGAATATAGCAAGAAGATGTAGGTCCCTGGAAATCGTTTTGTTTGGATAAGTTTTTGAAACAACTCACGACACCCCTTTAGCTGTTGGCTGTATTAAGATTGTTTCATTATCATTACTGCTGAAAATGATGAACATTGTGAAGATAAGTGAACGTTTGATGTTGCCCGGGAGCAATCATCCATTTTTAGAAAACTGGCGCGGATTGCTATTAAACTTGGTGAATATCGGAGAAGAAACATCGTAATCACATATCATCACCTGGGAGACAAGCAGGCGTCCTCCAGAAGTAATAATTACAAGAAAATTGCTTTTGTTTGTTTCGATGCCTGATTATACACTCCGGGATGGAAATTACTGTCCAGCGTGCTGAGTTCTAAAAACCAGCCGACAATCAAAGAGCACAAGACAATAGGAGAAAAAAAAAATGTGCCAATTATATTTGAGAGAAAACGGCTTGTGATTTTAGCCGGCTTTCGATTCCCTGGTGAAGTGAGAGGACTGCAAATATCCTAGCCTTTGAACTGAAAAGAAATGTGCAGGTATACGCATTTTATTTACCTTAACTTCAATTGTTTGTAAGTTTGGGATCCAGTCGTTCCCTAAGTAATATTAACCTTTGACTAATAAACGGAAGATTTGATTGTTGACAATGTCGGTATACCACGTCTAAATTAATAGGCAGTGACGGATGTCTCTCTTAAAAGGTAGTTATCGGACGATATATACATCTTCAGAAATCAAGGACTGTTGGGTCATTTAAGCCACAACAATGGGCCAGTGAGCAAGGAGGAATTGGGAGAGTGTTTTTTAACGAACTCGAGGGGAGCTTGTTTTTGTCGGTAGTCTTTCCTTGTTCGGAGGTGCACAATTTTGTTTTGTGAGAAATGGCAGCGGCGATCGCCAGCGGTTTGATCCGGCAGAAGAGACAGGCTCGAGAACAGCACGCAGACCGACCCTCCACCAATAGGAGGAGGAAAAGCCCCAGCAAGAACCGGGGTCTCTGCAATGGGAACTTGGTCGATATCTTCTCCAAAGTCAGAATCTTCGGCCTCAGAAAGAGAAGACTACGGAGACAAGGTGTGATAATCTCTTGAACGCAAGGCGATACGTTTGCATGCAGAAAACATTAACCGTGAAATATTCATGTCCATTAGATACGACTTAACGCTGTTCGTAACTCGCGTGCAACTGTAGGGTATAAAACGAATTTGATTAGTGCAAGAAGAATAAAATTAACATTGTCAATTCATCGAGAAGGGAAAATCAGTTTTCCTAAAAAAAAGTGTTATTGATCCTAGTGCTATCTGTCGCTATTATAATAACTACAACAAATTGACCAGTCGTAGGATGCTTGGAAGACAATTCCCGGCAGTAAGATGAAAATCACTGAATCAGAGACAGCTACTGTACATGTACTTGCTGTGAAATTCAGGTTACTGACAGACTACAGATTAACCGTCTGTAATGTCTGAGACAGCATATGCAGGGCTGTCACAATCTATTGTTGTAGGCCACCTAGCCCAGTATAACAAAGAATATGATTTGTGAAATGCACATTCAGCGGGAAAATGAGGAAATTAATTAATGCGTCTGCAAAATAACCACATTTTTGGCTGATAAAATCTTTCATTTAATATTATGCATAGCTTTTAGTATTTTTTTAACGTAAACAAGGAACCTTCGTTTATGAAGCTCAATGTAGGTCAAATTTTCATCCGTGTAACCTTCATGGTTTGTGGTATAGTAATTGCGGTCATTAAAATCTTACAAGCTGTACATTTCGTATAGGGCAATTTTTGTCTACAAAAATTGGTAGGAGAATACATGATTTGATGTTTTGGTAGATTTAAATAAAAAAAGGTGCAAATATGCATGCAACCTATAACCATCTTTTTTCCCTAGTGAGTGTTTCTTTTTTAGCATTTGGTATTTTTTTTTTGACAGCAGGTGCTTAACTTGTTGCAGTACAGACCATATCTCTATTTCAGTGTATTTCTTTCTTGACCATTTAAGCTTGAGACTGAAATGCTATTATTATTAGTAACATAGAAGTATGAGACATACTTCAGTAAGTGCTTCCTTATTTTTTTAATCTTATATATGAAGCATTCATGACAAAGCAAAAAGTGCAATAGCAATAATAAGTCAGCACAAAATTAGTCTCACTAAACAGAATAAGGATTTCCTTTTTCTAAGCCATGATTATATTATACAGTAAATTGGAGGTACGTGGTCTGGTTTGTTCAATTCCACCTGTATTCCAGGGAAGTGTCATTTAATTCATTTGCTGAGCATGATTAAGTCATGTTTTCCTTTACAGCGTCTGTTTTATCGGACTGTGAACTGCATGCTTCAAATCCCTCGTTAAATACCTACATGTACCAAAGTGAAAATACTGAGTTAGGTGGCACTATAATAAAGTCTGGATTTAAATGTTGTTTTTCAAACTCATAACTGAGATGACTTGTTTTTACCATGTACTATATATTCTTAAGGTTATACAGTAAATCTCCCCAAATGAGCTTGTCTGGTTTTTGTTTGTAGGCATGTACATGTAGCTTGTTTTGCTTATTTCAGAGTCAGTGTTGTCACAGTCAAATCATTTTAGTCATCATACTGACTTCTGCACAAATAAAAAAATACAAACATATTTGTACATAGTGCATAGTAAAATATAATCTTAAATATGATAAACTATATACAGTAAAGTGTCAGATGTACATATATTGCATAAATGAAATTTGGACAACATAAAATTCAAATAACAAAATATTATTATAATAATATAATATATATTTAATATAATATATATAGTATATTATTGTCCAAATAATTGGGTTATAGAATATTTTTCCTTCTACACACGTTATTACTATTATGATTGATGATGGTGGTAATTAATGAGGGAACTACCAGAAACATGAAAATTACACATAAAATGCCCCAGGTAGCTTTAATTGAACATATTGCATTGTTGTGTCCCAAAATTTGTAAATGAAAGAGAAGGACCAGCTGCGTGCAAGATAATAACGTTGTATATTGTGACACTTAACTGATTAAGTTATAGAATTGAAGTCAAAAACCTGAAAACTGTAAGGAGCACTGCCTGTAAGAAGTACCGACCAGTTTTCTAAAATCATCTACAGTATTGACTATCTGGGACAGACCGAAATTCACATGTTGTACGTCAATAAAAATTCGGTTGATATGAATTTGAAAATATTTAAGAAAGATTTTATATTTCTACATCTCTGTGACTCTGTGGTGGTGTTATTGTAATTTTGTTTGATAATATTAATATTGTCTCAGTGTCTAAGCATAAAATTACCTTTAAAATCAAGAAAAAAGTCATTCACACATTGGATGAGATGACAGGAAAAGGAAAGATCGGTAGGCAAATGATGAAAAACTGCAGAATCACAGCTGTGTTGGTCTTGCTGTGTTTTTATGTAATGGTGATTGCTCCAAGATGAGCTCATAATTCAGGTATTTTGCTTTAGAGACATAGACTCTTGTAGTTTAGAAGTATTAATGTTACTGTGGCATATTGCACAGAGCCTTTAACTAATAAAACCTTAAGGGGAGATGCCGGGTGGCATGTTATATATCCAGCAAGTGCCAGATGTCTTCAGGGGGGAATTGTACACAAATAGGTCCTAAGCAAAACACACACTGAATATAAGAAGAACTTGAGAAGATAAATGGGACTGTAAGGTTTTGATAAATTTACACCTGTGGTATTTCATCCATTTTGATACAGCAAGATAGTATTCTATGGCCTTCTGTTGCTATTATAGGTCTGAGTTTTAGTAATCTGTTCTAGACAGGCACAGGGTATTCTATACAGTAGATAGCCTCCTGTTCTTTTTGCTAATACGAACCTTTGGTCAAAAAATAACGAATGACGTAAATCTAACTGTACAGAGGGAAAATTACTTTGAGTTTATCAGATTACAGGGCAGATGAGCGCAACAGATTATCGTCAGGTTTACAGTGCTAGTATTATATAAAAAAAAGATAGTTTAATGTTAGTTCTGGGTATTCCATTTGGACTCTTTTGTTATCATTACTCAATGCTATTATATTTTGCGTCTTTGATTGTCCAGTGGCTACTGAAACATTCTTAATCCATTTACATTTATTTATCTGTGGACAGTGTTATCCAAAACAACTTACATTTTCACCCTTTTATACAGCTGAGTATTGTACTGGAGCAACTGAAATGAAGCATCTTGTTCAAAAGTACAACAGCAGTGTCTTGCCAAGGATCTGAACCCACTTACAAGTCCAGAACCATAACTGCTGCCCCAGTGGAACGTAATAAACCAAAGCCTTTTATTTTCTTGATTATAAAGGTAATGTGACAGACGTAAGGAAGCAGAAATGTACATATATCCTTGGTTTTAATTTATTTGTGGTCAGGCAATTGAAAAGTTTACCAAGTGTGGTTATTGATTATCTTAATGCATACAATTATTATTAAGTTTAATTAAATAGATTAATTCAATGTTATTAATTTTAAATATTCATTAAATGCATTTCACTTTATTTGTCTTCATTTTCTGGATAATTTAAAATAAATCTTGAAGGCATTCGTGGTAATATGCTTTCATTTTCATCCAAGTATGCGGGCCTTGAATTCAGCAAAAATATACTGTACTTTTTGTTGTTTTTTTATTGGTTTAGTGCCTTGTGGGAGTTACCTTATTAATTTTACATCCACATGAGATTCAGAAAAGCTTTCGTGAGCAATTATTAATGCTTGTGTCAAGACCCACAGGGGAGTGCCTTTCAAATGTCTCTACTAAGGCATTCTTACACTTAGCACAAAAAGAAGGATGGCTCTGTTGCTGTTCTTCAGCACCCTGTAAGTCCTTGGAAGGCTTTATATCAAGAAAATAAGTCAGGAACTACAAGAGGCAGAGAGGTATTAAACAAAATAGTGTCTCAACAGGGAATGAGTAATTTTCATTTTCAGTAATTTGTCAATTGGAAATGCAAAGAAAATGGGTGTTTTCCAGAGTTCTGTGGGAAAGAAATCCTGCAGGATCTCAGAAAGTAATTCACAGTTAGGCCATATTTTACCTCAGACATTTTTTTCCTCAGTGACCTAAAATAATTTAGTCTGGTATTTTACACCAGACAGGTATTAGAAAGTCAAGTAGATGTTATGTTGGGAACTGCACAGGGGAATGTGAAATATTTCAACAATTATTATTCTTCAAATTAAACAATAATTATAGAATACTTCATTAGAAAGCTGCCGAAATATTATTTTTATATCACCCGTCTCAGGGTACACTATAATGACTTTTGTATAATTTGGACAATTATATTCAATTCATTAAAAGCGGAAAACACTTTATCTGAATTTAAAGAGCTTCATACTAAACTATAATTTATTATGAACTCCTGGAGTCTGGAGCAAAGTTGCTCTCTCTGAGCACAGGCTGAGCTCACTGATACAAGGATCAAAAGTTCATGTCTAGGTTTTTTATTGACCAGCTGTGACTATTTTGTTCTCCAAGTATTGAGGCTACAATTAGCTCAGGACCGTAGGATTATGTTTGGGATTAGTCAGACTCCTTGTGGACCAGCACCTCCGTGACTACTTCAGCAGTTTAGGCTTGTGGTGACATCAGCGCTGGACGCACCTCTCCTCCAATTAGAAGTGAACTTGCTCTAAGTCATTGTAGAGCTTGTGGCCTGTCACGCAATAAACAATTTGATGGGTGTTCAGATCAGAGCCCTTTCTTATTCCCCCTGTGTCAACGAGGGGTTTGGGCTATGGTTTGAGATCTAAACACACAACTGACATTTCCAAATTGGGTGTGTAATTTGGGGGAGGGGGTGTGTAAGAAAATAGTAATTACTGTAAAGATTTATCTTAAAATTATTTTCCACTTTATTTATATAAATGAGCGTAATCAGGCCTTTTGAGGTGGAATTCAAGTCTCTTCTGCAAAGCACTATCATTGTTATTTTGTTATTTTTTTCTTGTTTTCTGAATTCAAAATATGAATCTCATATCTTGTCATGATTAGTAAACAACAAACATTAAGAGCACGGCAACTATT